TGCATAATAGACAATTACCGCAATTGACAATAGCATGAATAATCGCCCCTTGATCGAGTCGCAAAAGTTTGGCGAAATTGGACTTCCCTTAAAACGGTGCTAGCTTCGTATGCTAATGACCTCACTTAGTTCGAATAAACAGAGGGGTAGAAATCGGTTTATAATGGGTGTAATAGGCCAACCGAATGGAAAGCAGAAAAAAATGGGAGCTCAGTTTCAAAAGTCTGTATATAGCGCTACAAGATATAAGCATCAACCGCAACCTCCCTTGATGTATTCGGTAAGGTGTGCATATGAGCCAAATCGCTTAGAAAAGAAGTTTAAGACAATCTTGGGAAACCTTGTCTTTCAAAAAATATTTTATGGCTTTTATTTTATTGTGCCAAACCCCTATATTTTATCGGTAAGCTATACTTGGTTGTCGATATTGTACGAGGATGTCAGGTTTCAGTTGTGGTATATGTCTGTATTGAAACGCCCTTTTGATAAGTATTTGTATTGATTACCGACAAAAGGCTGGGAAATAAATCACGAATTAATGGTTTCGTCATTTGCATTCATCTCGGTAACGATATTTGTGGGTAGTTCCCGAGTTTGTTGTTTTCCGTTACTGCACGCTGTCTTTGGCCAACACCCTTCTTTGCTCGCACGCCGACTAAGAGTCTTCTGTCTCATGGGTTTAAAACCAGCCCCCTAATGTCATCGAAATGTTTGCAGGTCTTGCCGCTGTAACACACAGCCAACAAATTTGGCTAGATTTCGGGTTATTTTAGGCACGCATAAAATGCCTCAGAATCATCGTTTAAGTCTTTTTGCGATTTCTATGAGTAGGGGAAAAGCACTTCCATTATCCACCTTTATCGAAGAATTACCACTTGCGGTGTGGGGGATGCGTCAGCCACTGCACCCATTCCCCGCGCCAGACAACTGATTAACTCGGACAATTGGCTGGACATGGGGAAGGAGAATGAGTACGACGTCTCAGGTCATTTTCCTCACTGCAAACCATCTGCTGCACCTGAAGCTATCACAGTGTATTATAGGCCGTAGCTTAATGGGATAACTCGGACCTCGCAGCCAGTCCAGTGTGTGTTTTTGTGGAATCGACTGAGACTCAAGTCGCAATGCCTCCTTTTTGACGTGGCCTATATAGCAGTCCCACACAGTGGAATCCGGTCCTGTGTGGTGGCACGCTTGACGAAAGATGACGTCCAACCGAAATAACTAAATAATTCTCATTAATGCTATCCCAAATAATAACAACGCAATACGAAAAAGTAGCAAGTAAACGTGGAACGACTTGACTTCGCTCAAGCAAGCTACCTGCAATTGTAAAGCTGGCGTGTGTCCGCCTCTATAAAACAAACTAGTTTAGACAAGAAAATATGACAAGATTGTTAAAAGGCTGATTTCTCTAGTCAGTCAGCACACGCTTAGAGACGGGTTATCACCGCACCAGCCATCTGTGCCCTCTCCCGCCTTCGGACTTTTTGACTTGGTCATGACACTGGATCCAGGTGAGGGAGGAGAAAGAGATAGTGTGGTAGGTACAGTGCAAGTCTCTGTACCTGCACAATGGACTATCGAACTGTCTGATCCTGCATTCAAGCTCTTTATCCGCAGTTGGTTTGCTTAAGCCACCAGGCTGTCCTCAGTGCTGCGTTTATTCCGTAAGGCCCAGTTAACCACTCCAACAGAAAATGTCAAAATATTTTTAATTTCTAGGCAACTGCCTAATTTCAGGAAAGGCATTCATTAATTTTTTTTTAGAGAAGGCACGCGCAGTACCTTTTAACGGCTGCGTACTTGTGCTATTTTATCCGAGCCTAGACTGTGGCTCTTTTTCCCCAGACTTCAGATAAGCTAATGCATGTCAAATCCCTGTGTGCATTTCAAGTTCACCTTATGTGCCTTAAATGCACTGCAGTACATTTAACACTGATGCTTCTACCAAATCTGGCCATTTATAGCCTCTCTTCTGTTCCGCTTCGGTGTACTTTTAAGTGTTAGTTCTTTGCTATTGTGCTTTTTCTGCCTGCAAGGCGGTGATCTGGTTTTTTGCCTCCAGCAATCAGAGCTTACAGGCGCCAAAAATATGCATGCGAAGGACCTACACATTCGCAGTGCTGGGTTTGCTTCCCAAACCTGTGTGTCCAATAACTAGCAGTTGGCGAAGTAAAAATTCCCCCGGTGCAGCGTCGCGCAAACTTTGTTTAGCTCGCAGAGAGAACAGTTTTCAACCGCAGTCCCACCGCCCCCCCCTCACTTATGACAATCATCGTTACGCGCGACTGAAGTCATGCACGCAGTTCCCAACCGGCCAATGGCGCTGCTATTCACTTATATGTCATGTGGCCAACGCTGTCTTAATCACAGTCTTTCTTGGTTTCTTCCCTAAACACGTTGTAGGAGATTACTGCAATGCTGCCTCAGATTTGTCACATTCTAGTATCATATTCTTATTTAG